AAAAAAAAAAAAAATTTGCCCAAAACGACGTCGTTTTGGGAATTAGGGGGATTAGGGAGGGCTTTTTTAGGGGGACAAATCATTTTTTTCTTGGTTATTTTATATTTTATATTTTATATTTCACATATATATATTTTTTATGATTAGATAAGTGAGATAATTTATGCATATCTTGATTAATTTTTTCTCTAAATCAATTAAAGACAAACCATTTATATTAGGATTAGAGAATTTACGAAAATTATTTTCTCACAGTTTAATCCCAAGAATTGAATCCTAAGTAATTGTGTGGGAAGCACACCCATCATGCACCTATACATGCATATATTATAAGTTTTTTACGCATCTTGACTCTGGAATTAACGATCGGATAAACTTTCAATAGCCTCAAGACTTGGGATATAAAATAAATAGATACCTATTATATCATATTATTGTAGGTAAAATTAAAAAGGCTACCGACATATCAGTATATCTTATTTGTCACTCAATAAAATCAACACTAGCATAATCTAAGGATAAAGCGAAGAAAGGGGATTACCCCAACATTTCACATGAGACTTGAACTTGTAACCTGTGCTATGGAGGTTGAAGAACAAACAATTCTGACACAAGGCCATAGCAACAGTTCTATATGCACAGAAGATGTCATAGAGGATGGATCTCACATTGTGCACAGAAATTCTATGTAAAAAGTATTTTCATAAGTTATATAAATTAATATTTACATATACGTATATACATGTGTGTTTTGAAAAAAATGGTGACGTGGCAAATGAATTTTTTTTTTTTTTTGGTGGCAGTGAATGCAGACGAGTGCTTGATGACAAGAATGCAAGAGATGTCGTTGGACTACCATTTCACAGTGGAGCAAGAAGTGGGCTCTTCCACTTATGCCTTCTTTGGTTTCAATGGTTGGACACCTCTACCCCCTCCATTATGCCCTTTTTGTTTTTTTACCCCATAATTATTAGTAATTAATGAGAGTCATTGGCTATGTTTGGATGTTGAGAAAAAAATGAGGGGAAAATCTTAAATTCATATACCTTCTTCTTCTTCTCTTCATTTTTCCTGATCCAAACACAGGCAATTCAAATTTTAGCAAAAAATGAAGAAAGAAAAGTAGTTGGGACAACTTTGAATGTATGTTCAAATTAGATACGAACTGTCTAAGAAACAAAATTCATTTAAAAAAATGAGGACAATGTCATTTTGGTAAATAAATATTAATTTTATAAATGTTTTGTTTTGAAGTGACGCATCATTATGGATTCAAATTTTATATAAATTTTTTATTTGTATATAATTGATGAACTGCCTATTAGTAATGCATTTTTCACATTAATTGACAGAGCCTAATGGTAGTTGACCTTACAAATATTTATTGTGGAGCATACATATATGGATGGCATCTCATTAAATTCATGTGCCTTTTTCATAAAATTAAATGCATTACTTCATTGAGATAATAAATGATTTTGCTTTTTGGCTATAACAAAAATGAGGATTTGAATTCAATTTTTTTTTGAATAAGATTTTCAACCTTGCCATGGCTATACAAATCTTATTTGGAATTATCCGACCAATCACATCCATAGTAACCCTTTGCGAGGGATACTAATATTACTTTGATATTTCATAAATTATTCTCATTTTTTTAACAAATTTTTTTTTTTTTAGCAAATAAAAAAAATCACTCTTTTATCAAGTGGTGATTATGCATGTGAAGCATACATGTAATGAAAAATTATTCGGCTCTTATGAAAAATTATCGAGACAATTGTGAGCACGACTCTAATTGATTTTGTTATGATGTGTTTTAACATTCACTTTCACATTTCTTGTTTTTGCCAAGCATGTCATTTGTTGGATATACGAGTTATGTTTTTGTTTTATGTTGTGCAACTATAGGGACCGCTGGTGTGTGGAGAATTGCTGCAATTAATGAGGCCGGAGGTTGGAAGGACCGGACAACTGTTGAAGATATGGATTTAGCTGTCCGAGCTAGTTTGAAAGGCTGGAAATTCCTATACCTCGGTACTGTCAAGGTATTACGTTCTTAGAAAATACTATACAAACTAACAAATTTCACAGACTTTTATTATTTACTGACGTGGCATGCAATAATAAAACTTTGGAATGATACGGAACGGTTCAAATGGGCCATGTGGCATCTATATTCTTAGCTCCCTAAATGTCATTGGTTTTCCCATGCATTTACTCTATCAAAAACACAAATTGCTAAATTTATTGTTGATTCTTCATGATATTTGTAATTTTATAGGTTTATTTTATTGTAGGTGAAAAATGAATTGCCAAGTACATTCAAGGCCTATCGTTTCCAACAACACCGGTGGTCTTGTGGCCCTGCCAATCTTTTCAGGAAAATGGTAACGGAGATTATAATGAATAAGGTTAGAGTTCCCATCCATCTTCAAGAATTTTACTTGAAAACCAATGGCTAATTACAAAGTTTAAGACCCGATCAATCATTTTTTTTTAAAAAAAAATTTAATTGCAGAGAGTAACGTTGTGGAAGAAAGTGCACGTAATCTACAGTTTCTTCTTGGTTAGGAAGATCGTCGCCCATATCGTCACATTTGTGTTTTATTGTGTCGTATTACCAGCAACTGTTTTGGTACCGGAAGTTGTGGTTCCGAAGTGGGCATCAGTTTACATTCCTTCCATCATCACCATTCTCAACGCTGTTGGAACTCCAAGGTCTGGTTTTCTTGATAGTTCTTTGCATTCTAAAGTTCAGTTATATTTGAATTTACGGTTTATGTTTGGATAAGCATAAGCTAGTAGTAGCCTTTGGATTCACTCTTGCTTCATTAGTTCATTCGATTTCATTTGTTACACATAAAAGGCAATGATCTACCAACTTTTGCTCATCAAAACATGAGCATTCATAATTTACTTTTAGTGAAGTCAAATAGCAATTATATTTTTATATTTCTATTTGGAGAAAAGTAAAATCAAGATTAAATCAATTTCCTTATCCTTGTCCAAGCCCGAGTATGTTAGGTAGCCTGACAATCAACACTTTAAAATCTACAATTGATCCCTTAAAAACTTGAATTTTAATATGAATATGCAGCATTTGGTTTACTGGTTCCTAAGAAACAGTAAAGAGCAATGAAACTATGAGACTATTGTTCTAAAACAAATTTGAAACAAAAAATCACATCCATCACTGAAGTTTAACCCAGGTTCTGTTTTTCATGTTTTGATCCCGCAGGTCACTCCACTTATTGGTGTTCTGGATCCTTTTTGAGAATGTCATGTCGCTGCACCGGACCAAGGCCACCTTCATTGGTCTTCTAGAGGCTGGGAGAGTGAACGAATGGGTTGTCACTGAGAAACTCGGGGACGCTCTCAAGACAAAAGCAGCCACTAAAGCACCTAAAAGACCCCGGTTTAGGATTGGAGAACGGTACAAATTCTCAAAACCTCAACCTACCTTCACATTTTAATCACACACTACACGATTTGTTTGGTGCAGCTTCTTGCAAGGTAAAAACTGATAATTAGAAGCAAAAGTAGAAACTAAAAGCACTCCTTCCTCTGCTTCTCAATAATCAGCTTTTTATAACTTATTTAAGCTATTTTTGCTTCATAACCTTTAAACAAAAGTTGGACTGACATAGATTTCTATAAATAAAAAAAAAGGCTTTTTAGGCACTTGAATTGTTATGACGTCCAACTAACAACTCATTCTTTTCCAAACATCGACAGAATCCATTTGCTAGAACTTGGGACCGGGCTTTTCCTCTTCTTCTGCGGTTGCTATGACATTGCCTTTGGGAAAAACCATTACTTCATCTACCTCTATGTCCAAGCAATGGCTTTCTTCGTCATTGGGTTCGGCTACGTTGGCACCTTTGTCCCCAACTCTTAAGCGTGACTCATTTCTCTATTCATCACCCGCGTGTTTATCTTACTTAAACACCAAGTGTCAATGGGGTTCTTCCATAATGCATGTCAGTGGCATTTTTAGCTACATTTTTAAAATTTTGGTTTTTAATGTATTAGCTTGTAAAAAAGAACAAAGCCGCCAGTCGTTTCATTCTTTTTGCTCGATCATAAGAATTCCGAGTCACTGACTCGAAGGAATTAGCTTGTGTATATTCCCAAATCAAGAAGATTATTTTGAGAAATGGGCAAAGACATAGAAGCAAAGTAAAGGTAGCAGAACATGAGTTCCCTGAAAGTAGTAGATATATAAAAACATGATCAAATGGTTTGATTGTACTTGTGTGATACTTTCCTAGTAAATTTGTCCCCTTTTTTTGGTTTTTTTTGTTTCTGAAGATTGTGTTTGTTTCAGATGAATAAACTGATGGAAACAGGAAGAAAAAAAACATTTTGTTTTCAGTTTCATCATTCAATTTATGTACTATAATGATTTTGCAGCTTGTTTTCTTCTTTTCTTGATTGTGTTTGGTGTTTGAACTTACTTCTCTCTCTCTCTCTTTCTCTCTCAACCATACCAGAAGTCATTTATTGATTTCTCCAACAATGAACAATAATTGAAGGGCTTGCAATAAAACTATGAGGATTGACCAACTACTCATTTATTTTTTCAGCGAAGACCAGACATTGTATTTGTTTCACAGAAAGGATTAGGCAAAAAAAGTAATGGAGGACAAGGATTAGGCAAAAAAAGTAATGGAGGACAAGGATTAGGCAAAAAAAGTAATGGAGGACAAGGATTAGGCAAAAAAAGTAATGGAGGACAAGGATTAGGCAAAAAAAGTAATGGAGGACAAGGATTAGGCAAAAAAAGTAATGGAGGACAAGGATTAGGCAAAAAAAGTAATGGAGGACAGAGTTTTAAAAGCAATGCAGAAAAACATTAAATCAGGTAGACACAGACTTCATGGTTGTTTCATGGTGGTTGTTGAAGATATAAATTACACCATATTTTTAGCATTGATCAGGGAAATATCAATCCATGTGGAAGACAAGCTTCTCCCAAGCTGAAAACCCATAACTGGTTGTCTTAGGGTTCATTTTGGAATTGGCTATTTTAGTTAATTTTTTGACTTTTTATAAAAAGACTGTAAGCTTTTTGTATTTCTGTATATTCAACTTAATTATGTTTACAAAGAGTGCATCAGTTTTATAGCCCAAATCTATGACAGAAAAAGATAATACAAAGAAAAGAAAATTGCCTAATTCGTAATATACACAAGTAAGGAAATTGTCTAATTCCTAATAGACAATATACCATATATACAATATATATTCTCACACTCCTGCTCAAACTCAAGGTGTTTTAGTAGAAAACACTGAAAGTTTGCTAAGAAGAAATTAAAACCGAGCGGTAGTGTGAGTCTTGGTGAAGAAGTCTGCAAGTTGCAAGGCCTAGGAGACAATAGGAAGTAAGATAGAGCCAGACTGTAGATGTTGTCAGACAAAGTGACAATCAATCTCAATGTGTTTCGTTCATTCATGGAAGACAGTATTGTGAGCAATCTGAATAACACTGCGGTTGTCACAATAGAGGGAGATCGGAGAAGATTGAGGTACATCCAAATCAGAGAGAAGACAACGAAGCCAAACAAGCTCAGTAGTAGCATGAGCCATAACACGGTACTCAGTTTCGGCAGCAGAGCGAGCAACAACAGTTTGTTTCTTGCTTTTCCAAGAGATCAAGCAATCGCCAAGAAACATACAGAAATCAGAGGTGGACTTGCGATCAGTAACATCACCAGCCCAATCAGAATCAGCATAGGCCACCAAGTCTAAAAAGGAAGTAGAGGACAACAGCAAGCCCTGAAAGATGGTACCCCGGAGATGGCGAAAAATACGAACCAAAGCATCCCAATGGATAGAGCAAAGAGCAGAAACGAACTGACTAATCACATGAACATCATAAGCAAGATCAAGGCGAGTGACAGTCGAATAAACTAAACAACCCACCAGCTCGCGATAGATCGTGGAATCATCTAGAGGGACATCATCAGTAGAGTTGAACTTCACATTAAGCTCAATAAGTGTATGAGAAACCTTAGTATCAGTAAGACCGGCACGGTGAATAACCTCATTAGCATACTTGGCCTGCGACAGAAAATAGCCCTTTGGAGAAGAGGCAACCTCAATACCAAGAAAATACCGTAATGGACCCAGATCCTTCATTTCGAAGGTGCGGAAGAGATGTTGCTTGACCTTAGAGATAGTAAAAGAGTCAGAACTAGTGATGATCATATTATCCACATAGAGTAGGAGAACAACAAAACCAGCCGAGGTATATCTCAGAAACAAAGTAGAGTCGGAAGCAGAAGGATGAAACCCAAGCTCGGTAATAACAGTCTGAAAGCGATCATACTAAGTACGAGGAGACTGCTTCAAACCATACAAAACACGTCGAAGACGACAAACCTGCCTAGAGAAATGGAGAAGACTGGGGGGAGGACTCATGTAGACCTCCTTAGTGAGATAACCGTTAAAAAAAGCATTCTTAACATCCATCTGATAGAGAGGCCAATGTCGAACAACAGCAACATAAATCAAGGTACGGAAAGTAGTCATTTTGGCAACATGGGCAAATGTCTCCTCATAATCAATACCATACTCCTGTGAGAAACCCTTAGCAACCAAGCGAGCTTTGTAGCGCTCAAGAGAACCATTAAAAAGAGTCTTGATTTTGTAGACCTATTTGCAACCAACCATATTCTTACCAGCAGGCAAAGGAAATAACTCCCAAGTACTAGTTTTCTATAACGCAAACAACTCATCCTCCATAGCTTGAACCCAATGAGGATCCTGACAGGCTTCCTTGTAAGACTGAGGTTCTGAAAAAGAGTGAATAGCAGACAAAAAAGTACAATAGGAAGCAGAAAAACATGTATTAGACCAACCCAACCTGTTTGGAGGACGACGCTCACGAGGAAGATAACAGTGTGCAGCAGGATTAGAGTCGTCAGAAACAGAAGGAGCAGCAATAAGAGAAGAGACAACTAAGGGTGGGGGAGCCTTGCGATGAGAATAAACCAATAAAGGAGGGAAAGAAGCAACTGAAGGAGAAAAAGGAGCCATAGGTGACGTAGACAGAGAAGTAAGAATGTCCTTAGGAGGAACAGTGGCAATACATTCATCTGATGGGACCTCAGAAAGAAATGGGTCGATGTGAACCAAATCCTCTTTGGAAACGGGAACAGTGAGATGGAAAAACTAAAAGTAAGATAGACGTTCAAGAAATGCAACATGACGGGAGACATAAAGGCGACGAGAGACAGGGTCGTAACAGCGATAGCCGTTCAAAGTAAGACTGTAGCCCAAAAAGACACACAAGACGGACCAGACGCTGAGTTTGGTCTGATCTATACGGGAAAGGAGGACAAAACAAGCAGACCCAAAGAAATGCAAGAGGGAATAATTGGGAGGTTAAAAATACAGAGCCTTATAAGGGGATTAAGAAGAGTAGGGGAGTCGGCATGTGATTAAGGAGGAAAACAGCAGTAAGAATTACCTCACCGCAGAATGGTGCCTGAACAGAGGCAGAGAGAATGAGAGATCGAGTTATCTCAAGGAGATAACGGTGTTTACACTCAGTACGACCATTTTGAGTAGAGGTATTATAGACACCCCATTTTTTACGGCCTTTACGACTTGGACGTCATCGCATGCACACCCGATGATGAGTCGACATGCTTGTCAAATGCTCGAAGTCCTCAACAGAATGCCACAACTTTGAGTCTTTCAAACCCTGTACCCCTATTTCCTCATTCTTGGACCAAACCTTGGTTTTTCAAGCCTGCAGCTTCTGGTGGCCTTTTTTGGGCTGCCGGCCATCACTCTTGGTTGCCGGCCATTGATGTGGCCTGCCGGCCACCAGTGTGTTTTGCAGATATTTTGTGACAGTTGTGCCAGCTATTTGCACAAATGCTTACATCTGCTCGCACATGTAGGGATGAATATTCTTGAGGGAAATTCATGTTTTTTATATCTAGAGGGCCTCCCTCTCATGTTTTAAGGTTAGAAAAATTTTAGAGCAAAATTTTTCATCTCTCTCTTCCAAATTTCTACACTTTAGCCTACATATCCTTAACCTTTGCCTATACACCCTTAACCAAACCTTCTCATCTTTGAGCTGAGGTACTTTTGAGCTTGGTTTGAGCTCTTGATGAGTGTGTTGTCTTGATTTGTTGCCTAGAATTGGTCTTCTCTTCAAGAGGTATAAGGTTTTGCTTGTTGCTTTGTTTTATTTGCTATAATTCTTGCAATTTTCTAACTGTTTTTGGGCTATAAAAACTCTGTATTTTTGGGCTGAAACTTGGGTTCTAAGGCCATTAAAGGTTAAGGGGTGGTTCACCCTTCTTTACACCTTGTTTTGAAGGCCTTTACCCTTGTGTTTCTCATCCTTTTACTATCTGTTTTTGAGCTTTTAAACACTATTTTTTAAAATTATTTCAGTGGCCAAAATCATGTTTTGAAGTCCAAATTTGAAGGGGTTAACCTCCCCTCCTTATGTCTTGTGTACTAGCCTAGCTTGTACTATATTTTAGCATATTAATCTAGCTATTATTGTCTTAATTCCAGCATGTTGTAGAACTGTTTTAGACCTATTTTAGCACTATTTTTGGTTAATAGTTGCATTTGAGCTTTGTTTTGCATGCTTATAATGTAATTGTCCTCATAAGTTTGGTGTTCTAGGCCTTAGACTCCATCTTATTTGAGTTGATTGCATTTATTTATGACTTTCTATACTTGTGATCACTCTTAATCACCTCTGCAACCTCGCTCCTTTCTTGACTTTTGTTTTGCTTTAAAAATGGTTCAAATAACTTGTTTGTTTAAAGCATGAGATTGAAATGTCATGTTTAATGGTTTAATACCTTTGGGGTTCATTACTAATGGTATGATGTCTCTTTCATACCTAAGACAACACTTGGTTTGAACCCTCTTTCCATTAGAGGATTTAAACTCACCATTGGACTCAATGAATTAAAGGATAGTTGGTAATTAAAATGAAATAATTAAAAATGGGACTAAAATGGTGCAAGATAAGAATTTGGTTTTGTGTTCCATCGGTCCTTAATTGAACACATGGAAGCTTGAGGCATTTCATACTCATTAGTGATGAAGTGGTTCAAGTTTCCAAAGTCACCACTTCCCTTGATCAATTCATGAAAGGGAGGAGGTTAGAGTCTTATTTTGTTGCATTTATTGAAATTGCACACTTTGGTTCATAAGCCTTCATGCAATGAAATTGCTTAAATTGTGGTTTGTGGACAAAGCTTACTACTCCTTTGATTTGTTCATGAAAAAGAGAGGTGAGTTGTGCAAACAAACCCTTGAGAATACCCTGTGCATGCTCTGTTTGTCCTCTGTTGCAGCAAGGTGAACTGGGCAGCAGTGGCCAGTAGGCCACCTTTGATGACCGGCCGGCTATCACTGATGGCCGGCA